ATGAAATTACTGATTATCTTTTGCACAAAATTAAAAATGACGGAACAAAGGAACAGATGGACACCGAAAGTGTTTATTTGATTCCTCATTCTTCGAAGCCTGTTAACGAATATTTTAATTCAAAACTATTCGTAGGTCTGTATCCAACTTTATTCTATTATGGACGTGAAGCACCTGAAGATCAATCGCGTCCAGTCAAAGTAAATTTACGAGAACACATACGTTATCTGTTATCGTACAATGATCGACGTTTTGAAACGAACCACAGTTTTATATTTGTCGTCTTCAATCTATTACAACGACGTGATGCTTGTTTTCATGCTCAGCTGATCGCAACAAAACCTTACTTTCGAGTATCTGTTGATGACATTCAATCCTTGAAAAGTAAAGATATTGAAATGGTGCTCGATAACATTTCCAAAAAAACATACAGTTCGGAATCCAGCAGTACATTAAATAAATTACTATATCATATTAAAACCATCGGTGGTCGAGTTATGGTTTTAGCATATTCACATACGGCATTACATACACGTATTCATGCATTAATCTACAATCAGGGACTACCAAGCATTTTTTTAACTTTAAATCCAGCTGATATTCACAGTCCCGTGACATTATATTTTGCTGGCGTCAAGCTTGATGTGGACAATATTCAAATGGAACAACTTATGGATAATTACAAAAGAGCTGAAATTATAGCATCTCATCCTGTTGCTACTGCCAAATATTTCCATTTATTGCTCAGTAATATCTTAGATACTATGATCGTTGGTGGTGTACTTGGCCCAATAAAAGCTTACTTTGGTACCGTTGAAAGTCAAGGACGAGGTTTCCTTCATTTGCATCTTCTTATTTGGCTTGATCATGATATGAAACCAGCTGATATGAAAGAAAAAATTCAAATGCTGATTTTCGTGAAAAATTGAAAGCATATCTAGAAGATATAATCAAAGAAGATTTAGATGAATCAAAGACAAACACATCTTTGAAAATTTAGATGGTATAAAGAGTTTAATCTTTGCTTATATTCAAATATTATTTTTGCTTATGTTATAGTGCCAAGATCATGGAACACGCCACCACGATTATCCCGAGATAACATATATGTAGTTTTAAGTACAATCGATTTGACAGGTTTACAACAAAATATATATGAACCCAACAACATTATATCAACACCGTTGAAGGAACAATTTGTTTCATCGATTTTGCATGTGTCTGTATTGCCAGATAAACTTTTACAAACACCAACACATAATCAATCAACATTTGGTAAGTATAGTAATCATCGAAGAAAAGTAAAGGATTATTTAATATTTTAGTTATTAATGCTTCATATAATGAATCAATAGTGATTCCAACTTGCTTACCAACTCCAAATCCGTCGTCACCTAATTTTGCATCAAGATTTCGTGCAGATGTAGTACAACTTGTTAAAGCAAGCAATATTCATAAACATAGTGATACTTGTTATAAATACTGGAATATTAATAAAGATGATAAGAAAAGTTGTCGGATGCGTATGCCACGCAAGTTGGTACCAATTTCAACAATTGATCCTGATACAGGTCACATTTCTATGCGAAGATCCGACCCATTAATCACAAATTTTAATGAATATCTCATCGCAGCCTGTCGATCCAACATAGATATTAAATTTATCTGGAGTGGAAACGATGCAAAGGCTCTTATCTATTATATTACCGATTATGTGACAAAAATGAGTCTTTCTTTTCATGACACATTTTGCTTTTGTACAAAAAAGCATTACAGCGTTCCAGAATTCATGCCATCAACCAGACAAAGAAACTGCAATCGAGAAGTCACGTAGACTCGTTTTACGCTGTTATAATACACTTACTTCTCAGCAAGAATTATCTGGAGTTCAAGTTGCATCTTATCTGATGAACTGGGATGATCATTATACAACACACAAGTTCCAAGGCTTCTTTTTAATTCAAACTGAACGATTTTTACAAACTCAATTAAATGAAATACGTGCCAAACAGAAGTCGAAAATTGTAACATGCGGTATGTTTTTAATATTTTAGTTGAATCAAATATAATGTATTATCTTTCATTTGTTAGATATAATGGACGATGACGTATATGATGATGAAGCTATTGACAATGAAAACAATGACGAAGAACAATTTCAAATTCAATCGAATGAAAATGACAATAGCTTCATCTTCGTTAATACAAGAATTGATTATCAATGCCAATCCGATACTCTCAACAAGATGTGTTTATACGACTTCGTCAGCACATTATATAAGAAAAAAAATGAATACATCAGATTTCAAGTATTCATCCGAATCTGCAGCATCAGTCGAAAAAAATGCTAATCAACAAGGTCGACCACACAATGAACGCTTTCCTTTTCAACAACAGCATCCACAGGCAACAACACATTTAATGATGAAATATAGTCAACTTCATGTACCTATTCTTTACGGCCCTCAAATTCCTCGACAAGATCGTGACGACACTCGAGAACGATATTGTCGAGCTCTTCTCACACTCCTCGTACCCTAGCGGCCCGTCGCTAATCTCTGTGATACGAATCAAACATGGAAAGATGCCTTCAAATATCGGCAACATCTTATTTCTGTTCATTCATGGAAGATTATAGAAAATATTCAACTTTTGCACGAATGTAAAAAGGATCGTGATGATCATTTACTTCAAGTTATTGCTGAAGCTCAAGTTGACAATGATGCTATCAATCCTGTACTTTTGCCAGCAAAACATGATGTTCATGGCGAATACGATATGGATGACAGCGATGACTTGCTTGAGCTATTAGGCAATTTAGATGAATATACGACTGCTGCAGTCAATACCACAAGAAAAACAACAGAAAATAAATATATTGAAGAAACTATCGAAGCAGCCGAGAACGTTGGACGATTTAATCATACGAACAGTAAGTATTATTTTTATATCAGTAACAAGTTTCCAAACAATGATAATAAATTTATTGTAGCATATTATCAATCTTCTTCAGATATATCAATTGATCGTACTAATCGACAACTTATACTATTCCTTTGTGCAACACCTCATCTTGTTCAACTCAATACAAAATGACAAAAACAGTTGAAGATCGAGAAAGAACGAGTTAGACGAAGTTTAATTATAAGGAACTATGACAAAGATGATGATACATTGGATTTATTTGCTATAAGAGATGCCGTTGTAACAGTGATGAATCCAAATAATTATAGTACAAACTATTTTGAAAATTATGGTTCAATTCTTCCAGTGCTCAAAGTCATACCTAACTTTCCTACTTAGACAAGTATTATTAATGAATTTACATTAAACAGAGAACAACGAGCTGCATTTATGATCATAACAAGTCATCTTGATGGTGACAACCGATGTTGCACAAGTATTTTTACAATACACGTCATCACAAATCGAAATCTACAATCTGTTTAGGTGACAATTATGGTCAGCTCATCATGTATATACCTGGGTGTGGCGGAATGGGCAAATCACAACTTATTCGTGCTCTTACCAAATATTTTCTCGTTACAAAAAGAATGCAAATGATGAGGAAGCTTGAACCGACTGGAATTGCTGCCGCTGAAATAGATGGAATGATAATTCATTCATTTTTGGGCGAACAACGCAATTCAGGAAAGCCACGAACCATTAAACCGGGTGACTCAAAACTTGAGAAAGAATGGAGATCAGTCGAATGTCTTTTAATTGATAAGATGAGTATGATTGGTTTAACTCTACTAGCAAAACTCAACCGAATTATTTCAATTGCAAAACATGTCGATCCTCAAGTTCCATTCGGTGGTGTAAACATTATCTTCTTTGGTGATTACTTACAATATCGACCTGTATATGATACACTATTACACACTGATTTTTCATTATCATCCAAAAATAAATCGGGTAAACTACCCACAGAAAAAGAAATTCAACAACGTGTTGCACGTTCTTTAATTCTTCAAATTAACTGTGTGGTAAAACTTACATAATAGATGCGCACAGAAGATTCACGGTACCTTCAGCTACTCGAATGTCTTCGTCATGGACAATGTAATTATGACGACTACGGATTATTGCTGACATGAGTAGTTGGGCAACCATCAGTAGGCTCTCTCTGTGATTCACCATGGAATAAAGTAAGTTTTCTTTTCCTTTTGATATAAACGTGTATATTTGTCTCGTTTAGGCTCCGATCCTTATGTTCCGAAATGAAGTGCGAACACAACTGAACAACAAGCCAGCAATTCATAATGCAGCTCAATTAGGCCACGTCCCGATGGTATGCATCGCTCAAGACACTTGTAATGGCAAACCAATTGAAGATCCTATACTTATAAAAAAATTATTGGAATTATCTGATAACAAGACAGAGCATTTACCTGGTTTATTACTTTTTGTTCCTGGAATGCCTGCTATTTTAACACAAAACATTGCTATTGAACTTCGTCTTATTAATGGTATTAATGGAATCTTTCAACAATTAGTCTATCAGGCAGATTCTGTATCAACAGATGTTTTATCGGAAATATTTCCAAAAAATACACAGTACATCCATCGACTATTATATGCATTAATAGAAATTGCTAAATCAAAAATTGAATCCAATCTTGAAGAACTTCAACCAAAACTTGTTCCAATACCAGTAATTGAACAAACATTTCGAGTAGACGTTTCTGATGTTTTTCCAAAAGACAAGAAATCAAAATCAAATTGAAAAGCAATTTTATTGATTAAACGTCGAGCATTACCACTGGTGCCTGCTTATTGCATTACAACACACAAGAGCCAAGACCAAACTCTGAATAAAATCGTGATCGATCTTAAATTGCCAAATGAAACTGAAGATATTGCCGCAGTTTATGTACCATTATCTCATGTAAAACGTTTCGTTAATCCAGTTATCTTATGGCAATTCAATTACAAGGTTTTAATAATTAAACCAAGTAAATTTCAACTCATCGAAATGGAAAGACTGGATCAAATATATTTAGAAACACAAAAACATTTTTCTCAGTGGTTTCAATGATTTTGTTTTTGTATTGCATGGAAACTCTTTTTATTTGTATCTGTTATTCCTCTAAGTACATACTTTTCTTACGTGTTTGTTCTATGTTATATACATTTACATATTGGTTTTTTCTATATTAATGCCTTGTATATATTAGCGTTGTTTTTCTTTGTTTTGATTGTAGTTCGATATGATATTTGTTAGATATAGATGTCTCTTTTTCTGTTTGTTATAGTTGCAAATGCAAATTAAATATATTTATATCGTGTAATTGCTTATAGAACTTTTAATATCAATAATCTCGATTATTTAATAGTGCATAAATTTGACTGAAAAGATACTCATAAAAAGTTCAATGATGATTGCTATCACACTCGCTCATTTCATATAAGATATAAAAACATTCTGATTGATCTGTATGGTTGATAGGTTAATCATACATATGAGTGGTAACTAGCAATTGAAAGCAACATCTCTTATATTATTGTCACTGCATGATATAGACTACTATTCATGTCACAAAAAGACGTAATAGTATAACGTATATGAGTGTACCTATGATTTATTTTGAATACATGCTAGAATGTCCTTGCAAAAAGTCCTTTATGAAACGTCCTCCGACTTTTCGTCCTTGAAAAAATGTCCTTCGGATTAAATGTCCTTCAGATTAAATGTCTTTGCGAAATAGTCCTTAGTGGTATAGTTCTCAGAAAAAAATGTCCTCTATTATGGAAATGTCCTTTAACTAAAATATGACGAATGGTTGATGATAATGTTCATCACGTAGTTTAATTTATTATAACGAGTTGAACTTTTTATTCCCTCGACTGAAGGGAGGGTGATACGGAAAAAACCTAAAAGCGTTTGTGGCGGGCTTTGTGCCGGGTCAAAAGAACACAAAGGTCAAAACAACACTAGATCACGAAATCGGACTTTCACCGTGAGAAATCACCCAATCCGAGGTATTCGAACTCGCTCTTTCGATCAATCACATTCTTTAGAGCTAGAAAACCGGCCAATCAGGAACTTTCGACCTCGGGCTTTCGACCAATCAGATTCCTCCAAGCTAAAAAAGCAGCCAATCAGGAATTTTCGACTTCGGGCTTTCTACCATTCAGATTCTTCCAGGCTAAAAAACCGGCCAATTAGGGGTTTTCGGTATTGGGCATTCAGCCAATAGGATTTTTTTATCTAGAAGTTCCAGCCAATCAGGGGTTTTTCCGTATTGGGCATTCAGCCAATCAGTTTTTTTCATATTGAAATTCCAGCCAATTAGAGGTTTTCAATATTGGGCTTTCGACCAATCAGATTTTTTCATATTGAAATTCCAGCCAATCAGGGGTTTTTCCGTATTGGGCATTCAGCCAATAGGGCTTTTCATATTGAAATTCCATCCAATCAGGGGTTTTCGATATCGGGCAGTCAGCCAATCAGATTTTTTCATATTGAAATTCCATCCAATCAAGGGTTTTCGATATTGTGCATTCAGCCAATAGGATTTTTTCATATTGAAATTCCAGCCAATCAAAGGTTTTCGATATTGTGCATTCAGCCAATAGGATTTTTTCATATTGAAATTCCAGTCAATCAGGGGTTTTCGATATCGGGCAGTCAGCCAATAGGATTGTTTCATATTGAAATTCCATCCAATCAGGGGTTTTCGATATTGCACATTCAGCCAATCAGATTGTTTCACATTGAAATCCCATCCAATCAAGGGTTTTCGATATTGTGCATTCAGCCAATAGGTTATTTTCATATTGAAATTCCAGCCAATCAAAGGTTTTTGATGTTGGGTATTCAGCCAATAGGATTTTTTCATACTGAAATTCCAGTCAATCAGAGGTTTTCGATATCGGACAGTCAGCCAATCAGATTTTTTCATATTGAAATTCCATCCAATCAGGGAT